TGCTCTGGTTTAAAGTGAATGAATGATAGATGGTTCTCATAAAGTAGTAAGCGGCTTAGTGTGTATACTTGTATTCAAAGACACATTTCCATATATGCCTGTGGACCTAGGGGAAAAGTCTGAAAGGATGTACAGAGGAAACATTTCTGAGTGATGAATACGGGTGATTTTGGGTTTCTTTGTACCTTTCTGTGTAGTGCTTGTTTATTTCCTTTTTCCTTAGCAGTGTTCTGGCACAGAGAACAATAGTTAAACTGTTGGTCTGGGGGAAGAGGCTTGGGCTGGATTCTAATGAAAGCTGACCTGTCTCTCCTAGGTGGCCTGGGCCTCTCCAACACCATGTATGCCCGGTTAGGGGAAATCATCGCCATGGACGCAGCTATTGCCACGACCCTGGCAGCCCACCAGGCTATAGGCCTCAAGGTCTGCGTTCTGAAGGTCTTCAATCGAGGCAGGAGGCTTGCTCACGTTATTGGACTCTTGTCACGGGTCCCGGAGGGCAGCCCCACCTTCTCTCCCTTCTCTCTGCAGCACTCAGATACCTCACTGGAGCACACCCTGCCTCCAGCCTCGGTCCCTGTGCCTCCACCTACCCACAGAGCAAGAGCATCTGATCATCCTGCCCCCTCGCTGAGCCCTTGCCCCACTCCCTTTGACCCAGCCACTCTCTCCACCATGACATCCCTCCTTCCCCTCGGGTTGAAAGCAGGCCTTCCCTATGAGGTCGAGTCACGCGGGGCCCTGGGGGTAGCCCCCTCCACCCCGCTCTTTATGCACACCTTTTCTCCCCTCCCCCAGGTTTGGTGCCTTCTAAGGCAAGGAAGGCAGACGGCTTGCTTGAGGTCCCGCAGTTCTCTATATAAAACACACCCATGACGCAGGTTGTTTCTGCTCAGTGTCTCCAGCAGCGATAGCCAAATAATGCCCATGCCCTCACCCCAGAGAGCACCTGCCTTGCTTGTGCCGCCGATTGAAAGAGGGGATCATCCCCCGGCACTGACTGCAGGCGGTGTGAGAGTCCCGGCATCGAGTGAGCACATGCCTTCTGCTGGTGTGGCTCCAGTACTTCCCTCGGTTCCTGTTGCTGTGCCCAGACCACCCTTCCCTAGGGAGGGGTCTCCCCATTTTGTAGATGTGGATATGGAGCCATAGAGAAGGGCCATGCCCAGTGTGGCCATCATTGCTTTTAGAAGAATGGATGCCAGTCTAGTCCCAAAGACTGGAGGTTTAAAGATGTCCCGAAGGTCCAACTCTTCCAAAATCTTATTCTGGGTGGATCTGCAGGTCAGGCAGAAGCGAGCCAAATGAAGGACCCAGAGCCAGAAGCCAAAACATGTCTCCAGAGCCGTGCGAGGTCTTACTTCTACCACAGCTCAGGCAGGGAATGGGGGGGTGGCTTTGCAGGTAAGCTGATGTGTGTAAGAAACAGTGTCCATGCCCCACAAAAGGTGGTGTCTTAAGGCACACACTGTACTCAGGTCAAGTCAGAGATGCCCTTAGTCCAGTAGAGGACACCCCCTGCCAAAGGAGACTAGAGCCACAAGTGTAGAAAGTGTAGACTTAACAATCTATCAGGAATGATGGCTGCAAGGGCCACGTTCATTGACGATAGCCCCTGACCACACAGCCAGGAAATGGAGAAATGATAGTGACAACCCTCGTCTCTCTCCGGCTCCAGTGCTGTGCTGACCCTCGGGGCTCACACGGCCCTGGTGCACACCCTCTAGCCTGGTCATCCTAGTGGCCTGGCTCCCCAGTGGGGTCTGCTCTGACTT